TACAATACTCCAATAGGAACATTACACAAAAAAGTGAAGCTTGGAGATCAAGTTCCGAAAAAAAACGGCGGACAAACCAGACTTGATAGTATAACAGAAAATTTATTTGTTCAAATAATTGTACATATGACTGAATGGAGGGTACCATTTGATTCTTTGGAATTAAGACTTTTAGTCAAATCATATTGTGATAAAAGGAGTATAACTGACGCTCGATTCAAAAACAATATGCCTGGTGTAGATTTGGTTCAGTTTGTCATGAAGAGACATTTCTTAACAAAAAGGTAGCTGATAATGTAAAGCACTGTAGAGCCATGGTCAGCGAAGATACCTTTAACAAATATTTTGATAATTTGTATAAAGAGTTGAAGGATATACCTCCAGAAAACATCTATAACTATGATGAGACCAATATAACAGACAATCCAGGGTCCAAATCCATTATTTTTTGTCGTGGCAACGGGCACCGTGTAAAAAAAAATAAGAACATTTGAAGCAGTCAACCAATTTAATGTTTTCTGGCAACGCTGTCAGAGAGTTTTTGCCGCCCATGGTGGTTTACAAAGCAAAGAATCTTTACCAGGGTTGGACTCAAGGTTGACCACCTGGAACTGTTTACAACATCACCCCTAATAGGTGGTTTGACGGTATGACATTTGCCAGATGGTTTAAGCTATCCTAAAGAAACATCTACCTACGCTTTTAAATAAACTAAATAATACTTTGCGGCCAGTAGCTTCGATTAGCGGATTTAAAGCAACGAGAATCTACCCCATGGGCAGAACAGAGGTTATAAAACGTCTTCCAGGAAAATATAAAGACCCTGGTGGTAAAAACATCTAGGGTTAATTCGATGACAAACTTGGAAAATAGAATATAAGAAAATAAAGCTTTCAAAAATGTATATTTAAACTAAAAGTTTACATCTTGTAGATTTTCTTGCCAAAAAGAATGAAAATAATATTAACATAGATGCAAGTAATATGTATTATATCGTATATGTTTGTATAATATCATTATAACAAAAATATTTGTAAACTCTTCATTAGTTCTGATATAAATACAGAATGTAGCATTATTGATTTTAATACTGGAAATAGCCATGATTTTATTATTGATTTTTTTTATCATTTAGTTCTTTATGATATAAACATAAAAAATGTGGTTTTATTGATTTAATGAAAATTTTTCTTGGACCAGAAAATTATCAACTTTCATATTTCAGCTCAAGTGATGGTTAGAACAAAGTCTTAATAATTATTTTTAAAAAAGCAAAAGCATGTATCAAATTTTATATCAGTGTAGTATTAGTGATGTGGCTATATTTCAGAAGTGTGGAATTATGGACTTTATTAATTTTCAAGTTTCCTTGTCTATAAAAGAAATTATAATTCAAGGCTAGCTTTTACAGAAACAAGCAACTATTTATGTTGCACTATTTTTAAGTGTGTGAAAAGTTTACAAAAGAAAAGGCTGTGCAATCAAAAAGAATTGTAAAAAGCATGAGTTTATTTTGAACGATTCCATGAGCATATTTATTTAAATTCAAATTAAAATAAATAATTCAATCAAAAGTTCGGATTATTTGATGCAGTAATGCTTAATTTATTGGCTCTAGCATCTTAATTAGTTTATGTTACAAGCATTGTTAAAAGTTTACCAACTACGAAGTAATTGCTAAACTTTTAACAATGCTTGTGTGCTTAAATATCTTTGTAAAATTTGAATTTTGTTTTAACAAATTTAACTGTTTATTTATTTTGTTAGTTTTGTCGCTCATTACAATTTTTTCACTTTTTTTTCTATGTGTATTTAAAGATTTCTTTGTGTAATTCTTATACTACTACTACTAATAAAAAAAAAATATTTTAAATACATTTTAAAAGATTAAAAACCATTAAAAAAAATATATTTTAAATATATTTTAAAAGATTCAAAACCATTTTGAACAAATTTTTTAGAGTTAAAACTTTACTTTCTTAAAAATTATGGATTAAAACTTATTAAGAAACATTTTTGAAAATATGAACTTATTTTATTTGGTCGCAACTTTTTAAAAAGAAATTTATATACTCATTAATCAAATATATCAAATTCTCAAATCTATATCCTCAATGGTATCTAACCGTTTAAAAAATACTTTCAGAAGTTAAGATTTTTATAATATATCATAAAACATAAAATAATGAAAAGAAAAAAAAAGAAATTGGTGAAAACTAAATTTGCCCTGTTTTATACCCCTGAGCCAACTTACGTAATAGCAGGGCACGTTAGCCCATCAGACATAACTTGACAAATTCAACTTAAAATGTGTTAAAAGCCAACAAAGTACAATTTTTTTTTGCATCCAAACTTTTAATTATGTTAACTATGTTACTTTTAATTATGTTAATTATGTTACTTTTAATGTTATTTATGTCTTTTCAACCTTTAAAAGTAAAATAAAACTTGAAAAACAAAAAAGTTACACATCAAAGAAAAAAAAACAGGCTAACATGACCTAGTCTACCCTACCCCAATCATAAGCGGAATAGACACAAACTTCTAAATCAGTTGTCAATAGGGACAGACAGAAAAAGGGTCAATAGAGATAGACAGACAGAAAAGGGATCAATAGGAATAGACAGATCAGGGATCTATAAGGACAGACAGAAAACAAATAAAAAATAAGGTTAGTTATTAACTTTATCAAAAAAAACATAAGTTTATAGGAACAGTATATAGCTATACTTAGCACAAAAACAATTAAAATATAAAAATATACAAAACTACATTCTCAATCTGTGGTACCAGAATAATCTTAAAAACTGTCCCTATTCACTCAGTTAAAGTACTTACTTGTTGCCAACGCTAATTATTACTATAGGGTAAATTAGGGTAATATGAGCATACTTAAAGAATTTTTAGATGTAAACAGTTAAGCTAAAGTTGCTTTGTATTTTTTGAATCGACTTTATGAGGTGTTAACAAGAATCAGTATAATTAGAGTAAATTTATATGCAGTAATAAGCGGCACTCATCTAATTAAAACGCTATTAAATTTTTTGCGTTTAAAATAATATTACCACATATGAATAAATCCGTGGCGCAAAAAATTGATGTTAAAATAATGAAATTTATTTTTTCATAAAGAAAAATATGTTAGCTAGAAATCCCTTCTATTTTTGTTTGAAAAACAATGCATAGAATCATTTAGTTTTAACTTTATTTAAAGATGCTATTATTGCGTAATACGAGGATGCTCAAATTACCCAATATTTTTCATTAAAAGTATCTAGTTTACAATAGGTATAGGCGTTTGGTTTCCATTGCGTTAAAATAAATTAACGGAATTTTCATTAAAATTCGTTCCGTTAAAAGTTATTAACAGTTAACTGAAAATTTGTTAGTTATTGAAAGTTATTAACAGTTAACGGAAAATAACTAGTTATTTTCCGTTAACTGTTAATAACTTTCCGTTAACCGTTAACGGAAAATAACTAGTTATTTTCCGTTAACGGTTAATAACTTTTTTTCACGGCCGTTAAATTCCGTTAACGGCTGTTAATTAAAATATACTGCAAATTAGTAGTTAATATACATATCTGATTGCAGTTAATATACATATCTGTTTTGCAAAACAGATATGTTTATTGATAAAATTAAAAAATATAATTGCTACAAATAAATATATACATTTGTTACAGCATGTAACAAATATTAAACAAAAATGTTGGAAAATGAAATAAATTTAAAAAAATAACTAATCCAACAAATTGAAGTTTATCCGCAAGAAAAACATTTAAATGATATATTTTAAACTCAAGTTACAAGGTTGTCAAATGTACAAAAATGTTTTAAATATTTGCTTGAAGCTTTAAAATAATATCGCATTATAAACAAATGTGTGAAACTTTATTTTGTATAAAATTTTCGCTTATATAAAGTTTTTACTATTTTTTTGCTCTTTTATTTTTATTTAACCGAAGTTCGATTAAATGAAAGGCAAAGTAGCATAAAAGGAGTTTAAGTAAAAGAACCATAGAATAAAAAAGACCCTAGACCAATTAATACATTTTAACTGCTTTTTTAAAAAAATGAAAAAGAATAATGTATAAATTAAACTTTTTTGTTTCCGCTGAAGGTGCTCATATTACCCTAATCTGCCATATACTCTAACCTTCTATTTAGAACAATTTTAAATATTTTTATATAAAAAGTGTTATTAAGTAACCCCACTATTTCACGTAACTCTGTTTTACCCTAATGAGGTAAAATATTTTTAAATTTTTAGTAAAAAATACTTTCTTTTATTTACACTATGTTATGTTGCTCGGATCGTGCCCGACGACAAGGGTTTCAAAGTGGAGAGGCTCAAAAGATCCCGTAAGATCCCTGGTTCAAACCCCACCTCTGGGCAAGTTTTGCGACATCGGTTGGGAAGGAGGTGTGAACTTCCTATTAAATGCTCTTCCGCGGTGCTCTGTGATTAGACCGCAAGGACTTCTTGGGGCACCTAAAAAATTAACAAAAAAAAAAAAAAAGGAGATGCTCAAAAGGTAATATCTAAAAAAAAGTCCTCTACATCTAGAAATTTCTTGAAAAGAAATTAAAAAAATAAAAAAAGTTTTTTTGCAACAAAAGACTTTTTTTGTAAAGGACCTCCTGCCCCCTTTATCCCCACCCCATTGTTATTGGCTCTGCGGATTGCAACTATTGCTATTGAATTGAATTGTATTAAAAACAAACGAAGAAAGAAATTTTCCTAGAAAAACTCCATCATAAGAGTTGCACTTACCACTCCGTGGTGATTAAAAATCTTTGTTTTCAAAAAATAAAGAAAATTTTATGAAATAAATAGTGCGATGATTTAAAACTCCTAAGGAGGAGTTTTTCTTAGAAACATTTTTAGCCATTTATCCGCCTTGTATTATAAGTTAAGGACGTGCTGGCGTACAGATTTTCTTTGCATCCAAATTTGTTCCTAAAGTTTATTTAGTTATAGAAGTCATAAAATAGTTATGTCTAATGTTAATATTTATGGTTCTGTAACTGCTGTAAATATTTCAAATAATGGTTCTCAAAAAGAAGGTCAGTATATATATATATATATATATATATATATATATATATATATATATATATATATATATATATATATATATATATATATATATATATATATATATATATATATATATATATATATATATATATATATATATATATATATATATATATATATATATATATATATATATATATATATATATATATATATATATATATATATATATTATATATATATATATATATATATTATATATATATATATATATATATATATATATATATATATATATATATATATATATATATATATATATATATATATATATATATATATATATATATATATATATATATATATATATATATATATATATATATATATATATATATATATATATATATGTTCTAAAAAAATAGAGTAATAATAAATTAGTTATTAAAGCACATCTAAATATCTTCTACAGTCTGTTCGCCTTCATCTAAAGGTTAAACAGATTTTAAAAGATATTTAAATGTGTTTTCACTAATTTACACACACACACACACACACACACACACACACACACACACACACACACACACACACACACACACACACACATACACTAGTATAGTTCTTTTTATAAACTATATAAAGTGAGTTTTAATATCTTTAATTTTCATAGTTCCTATTCCATTCATTCCTACAACAAAAAATTTGTTTCCGCATTCCAATGAACAGTTTTTACAGAAAAGTGAGTGATATTTAGTATGTATATAATTGTATAGCATTATTTTTTATTAAATATCATCTATTGAACAAGGGATTTTAAATTTTCGTAGATCAATATAGTATATTATAATATATTAGGATATATGGTATGTGAATGTATATTTTAATATATAATATATTTAGATATACATACACATATCATAAATCCTATTATATTATTATACACATACAAATATTCTCAGCAGACAATTCAAGAGATACTCAGTTAATCTAAAAACATAGTTATTTCAGACATACTGCCTCTGCTTGCACGATGCAGCTCTGTGTCTTGACTTTGGTGTATGTAAATTTTGTTATATCTTCAATCTTGTTACAAGAAATACTTTTTGGTTATGACAAGTATTCAAGTGTTCAAAATATGTAAAATGAGTTGGGACTGCCTACTCTAGATTCTTTATTGCTTAACTACAGACAGTTTTAAAAATCAGCTTTTTGCCTGGGCTAATAACAAAGTAGCTTTGTAAGCATTAAACAATACGTGACCTGAGTGCTTATTTATTTCAACTCCATTTTGAAATGTTAAAAGAACTTTTCCGTGTTAATATCTAAAAATAAAAATAAAACTATTGATTTTTTTATTTTTTTAACTTTTTTTCTTATAAATAATTAGTAAATTTAATAGCAAATAATATTTTCAATAGTTATTATTAAAAATTAAAATTTATTGCATAAATAGTTTTTACCTTTGTAAGATCACTTAATATTTTCTCCCAACATTTTAAAATGGAGATGGAATAAATAAGCACTTGTGTCGC